CGTGTTACATGCTCGATGGTTATGTTCCCTGCCCCCTGTGGTGGCTGGTGTGTGTGTGTGTGTGTGTGTGTGTGTGTGTGGCATTAAACCTATGGCCTTAGCACTGAACTACATCTCCAGTCCTTGTTTTATTTATTATTTTGAGACAGTCTCATTAATAGACTAAATTTCCTGGGTGGGGCTTTAATTTGTAATCCTCCTGCCTCAGCCTCCTAGAGTGCTGGGGTTACAGGCACACACCATCATGCCTAGTGATGTCTTTTTGACACATACCCCTAGCCAGACCTTGCTCTGCTCCCTGGGAGTGGTCAGTGGCTGCTGGACTTGGGGGACTGGTTCTGGGACACCTTCACGCTCTGATTCCAAAAGCTGTGGCTGCTCAGGTCCTTTATATAAAGGGGTACGATATTTGCATAAAACCTACACAGATGTCCAATGTACTGTAAATCATCTCTGGATTACTTTTAACATCCGATATAAGTGCCATGTAAAAAGTTGTCTTACTGTATTGTTTAGAGAATAATAAGAAAAAACTAAATTACATGCATAGTACATATGTGGGTTTTCTTCCTGATTTTATTGAGCCATGATTCCTTGAATGTAAGGATGTGGAACTTGTGCATACCCAGGCCCAGCTAGAGGTTAACAGTGACTGACTGTCCACAAGGCTCCTGCCGTCTTGACAAAGAATTCGAGAGCCAGATGGGTCTTCTGAGGCCTCCAAGTTTCGCCGTCATCACATCCACAAGGAGACTTCATTTAGGTCAGTGTCCTCTTAAGTAATAGCATTTAAAGGCTCATGTAGAAATCTGTGGCCTCATCTTTACTGGATCTCCTCTATTTTATAATGTTACTCTTTTTGTTTATGTAAAAGCTTGTCAATTCGAGGAACATTGTCTTATACTGACACCTGCTGGGCAGGTGGAAAAGAACAGATACCTGTAACTAGTGGGGTTTTTTGGTGACTAAAAGCAGAGAAATAATGCCTTCCTCATTGTATTCATCTTTAATAAGCTATCCTAGTTTTAAGCTTGCCTTTCTTCTTTTTCTCATCAAACTTGAAAATCTATATTCTATTTTGTCTTTCTTGAATGTGATGATTCTATTGCGAAAAGCCTACAGTACTTTGTAAAACATGGCATTACATGTGACTGTGGCTCTGCTCACACTGTCCCTCAGAACCAGAACCGTTGACCTGCCAAATGTGCTCGGTGACACATATGAAGCCATCCCCATCCTAGATCCACCAGTTGGTGGTTCACTGTGAGAAACCATATGACCAAGGCTTTCACGGACAGAAGTAAGAACCAACCAGGATGGATGTCAGAAGGTACTTTTTGAAGATTCCTCTAGGGCTCACAACCTCATTAAAAATTCATGTGAGTGTTTCATGGTCTTAATAAAACTTTTGTTATAAAACCATTTCTCCCTGCTTTTTATTTAAACACATTTTCTTTTATTTGCCCCCCCAAGGCTTAAAAACTACAAGTCAATATCTTATTTGTCATTACTCAAAAACCTGAACAAAATATGCCAGTAGGTTATATTTTAATTACTCCTTTATGAATGCCTTTTCAGTGTGCTTTTTCTTTGTTTACTTGATAATTTAATCATGAAAATTACTTCTTCCTGTAAATATGCTGATTTAGAGAGGAAGGCAGCAGGAGGGTCTAAACCCTTGTCAGTTGTTAACATAGGCATGGGAATTCTAATTGATGTGTTGGTTATCTGGGCAATTGAAACAAGACACACAGGGAAAGTGCCTTGAAGCCTGGAGTGGATAGGATAGGAAGGAAAGGACATAGATTTTTGGATCCAGTTAGACTCAAATGTGAAAACTGGCTCTCCTACTTATCAGTCATGATAAGGGCAGTCATCTGACTCCTCTTTGCCCCTGTTTCTTCATCTGTGAATGGAATGGCAGTACCACCTTGTGCAGTGCTTTTGAAAATTTAATGCCACAGTGCTCAGTCCATAGTAGGTACAAAGTTATTTCTATTCCTATTTTAAAATGAATACACTGTTTTGCTCGTGTCTGGCCCTGGAGCCCCTCTGCATGACCCAGTGTTAGCAGTTGTTACACACAATAGAGGCCACTTCTGAAACTCCTTGAAGTGCTCAAGCCCTGCCCTCTTCAAGTCTTCTGGTTGCCACAAATGGTCTTTGCTTTGCTCTTAAACTTCTGATACCCATTGGTCCTTTGCATTGTCTGTTTTCAGATTCTATAAAGTGGTCCTGGGGTTTATTGATTAAACAAATATTTACTGAACTCTTACCAAGTGCTAGCTCTGGAGAAAGCACAGTAAGCACAACAAACAAAACTTCCTGTTTTCATAGACCTTTAAGTCTGGGAGGGGACTGAAGAACAAAAACACAAAGCATATGGTTTGTTGACGGAGCCCGCCGTCACTTGTCGAACAGTACCTGAATGGGGGAGTGAGGATGAAGAAAAAGAAAGACAAAGAGATAGAGTCGGGAGGGCTCCCAGAGACCAAGCACCCAAGTTTATTTTTCTCCTCTCTTTTATACAACAGGTGAGTTTGGTTGTTAATCATGACCCTTATCCAGAGACACCTGCTTCCTTGTTTTCTAGTTCTTTGGGAATTCCCCACCCTCGTGGGCTTCCTTGTTTCTCAGGGTTACAGAACGTTCATCATGTTCCAGGGCAATCTAATTTGGCAAGGACGCGGTTCCTCGTAACATAGTCTCCTTGCTCTATACAATGGAGGGTAAGATTCAAAATGGAGCCTCTTTGGCTAACACCACTCTCCACACACCGCTCTCCACAGTTTGTCAAATGATCAGAAATACTAAATTGAAACAAATAGGATGGAAAGAGCAGTTGTGTGTGTGTGTGTGTGTGTGTGTTGGGGTGGTGGTTGATTCACTGGTCACAGAGTAAATGATACCTGACCCCAGAGCCCAGAATTTCTTATGGTAACCTAAACAGGGTTAAGAAACACCGAGGTTGATCCTTATGTTGTCAAGGAAGATAATGGTGTAGAGTGTGAAGTCTGGGAAGCAGCTAGGTTGGACCAGGAGCATACACAAACCTGGTCTTACCTGGATCACGAAGAGTTAGTGGGCTTTCTTCTTGAGTTCCTCTTTCAGTTCCTGATGACAAGATAGGCAGTAGGGACTTTGTAAGTGTTGACTTCTCCTCATCCTCTTTTTCTTTTCTCATACTGAGGATTCAGTCCAGGGCCTTCACACTGAACTATATCCTCAGCCCTTTAAAAAAATTTTTGTTTTCATTTTGAGAATTTTCACTAAATCATTGATTTGCCCAGGCTTGGGCTTGAATTTGTAATCCTCCATCTCAGCCTTTGAGAGTGATGGGATTACTGTCATGTGCCCCCACATATGGCTTGAAACTTTCATTTCTTGTGATGCAGACCTGACAAGCATTGAAAAGGAGGAGGAGGAGCAGTGGCAGCAGAGGCAGGTGTTGCTACCTTCAAGAAGACTCCTGTTCTTTGGAACACAAAAGAGCTACTGAGCACCTGACACCAGGCTATATGCAACTATCCTAAGATCTGATTCCAATAAATACTGGTAAGAAGAGATTCAGTACCTGTTGCAGTGTGAATGGGTTGCCTGGGGTGGAAGGTCCATTCTCCTCTTGGTTGCCCAACTCTGGGCACATTGCACTACCCCCTTGATACTCTATTTCTTCTTCATCTCTGTGATGAGAGGGCTGTCCACTAACGTTTATTTCTGCTAAAAAATTCCATGATTTTAAGCAGTTGTAATTTCATGTCTGTTTTTGGAGTATTAACAGAAGAGAGAACTTTAGAGTGTAGAATTTTTATTTTTTCTTTTGGCTGACTTTGGAAGAGAAGGATGTAGGAAAGGAAGAGTTAGTTTTGCTGTTGATTTAGAGCAGTGAGATTAGGTTCCTTGGATAATAGCCAAACATACCCAAATGAGAGGAGCAGATCTTTCCATTTGGCAGGAGATTTGCTGACTTGACCAAGAGGGCTTTCTCACTGTCCCGAAGGGGAGGAGCAAAAACCATGGCAAAACTGACTCAAATGGTCCCTTTGTGAAGACTGCTGTTCTCTATAGGCTGATTTAGTTGCTCCTTTCTCTGTTTCCGCTAAAGAGAAAGAACAAATTGGAGCCAAGGGATAGAAGAAAGCCAGTGAACCCAGGGCGGGCAGCTGTGCACAAAAGATGAACATTTAATAAGAGTGTGATGAGTGCAAGAATAAATGAAAGCAAGACAAACCAATAGATGGGGGAAATGGGAGAGTTCAGGAAACCCAACTTTAACTTTGCCACTAATCCCACACAGATTTCAAGAGTGGAGTATTAAATTTGTTTTCTGAGCGCTTAGAAAGGGAGTGAACCGGGCCTGAACACTGGCTCACCAAGGGCTGACAGTGTCAGTCATCTCACTGGTAGAGTCTTTAGATTTTGGATGTTGGGGGAATACTGTGGACATCGTTTATCTTCACAAAAGCAAATAAAGTCCTTCTTGATCTTTTTTGATTAAGATGGTGAAACGAAGACTTGACGGTCATACTGTTAGTATGTTTCCACTGATAGAAGCAACTTTATTAGCTAGTGTTTATGGATTGTGGTATTTTTCTAGCCTAAATGAGGTATCTGTGGAATTGCACAAGGTCAGATTGTGGGCCTGACTATGAACTGAAATAATAAGATTTATTTTGAAATAATTACAGAGTTTATTCTGATTTCATCAGTGCTATCCATGTCTGTGTCTGTGTATGCACCTGTGAGTACAGTTCTGTGTGGGAGATTAGAGAACTGAGTCCTAATTGGCCTCCTCTGTGAGCACAGAGGAGCAAGGCTGCCTGCCCACCGGGCTGATTGCACATTGCAGGTTCCAGGGAAAAGTTAAACCAGCTGAGGTTAAGTTGTTTACCTGATCAGGTACTGATAGGCATTGGAAAGCAGATGGCTCTTGTGTTACTTTGATTGCTCATACGGCGTTTGGCTGAATAAAGGTAAGATGAGCCAGACGCTGAGGGCTCCTCTGCCTACTAGAGGCACCAGCTTCCTGGCTGCCTGCCTGTTAAACTGAGTCTGTGTCTCTTTGTCATTCATTCTTGTTTGCTTCCGGGTCAGCGAGAACAAAGTCGTGGGTTTAGGTCCCCCACATGTGGTGCCTGGGTGAGGAGATCTCCAAGGAGTGGGCTGGCTCCCCACGGGTGGTGCCTGGGGCAGGAGGGACCTGCGACTGGTGTGAAGGCCAGCTGAGGGGGTTGGCTACAGTTGGCCCCTGAACAGGGGCTTTAGACTGCGGTCGGCTACAGTTCTGTGCAACTTTATTTCGTGTGTAGTTCACGTAATCAACACTGAAGTCAAAATACAGAACTGTTCTCCCAGAAGGCTCTACCTTGCTATGTCTTCATAGCCAATCCACTCGTCTCCCATTTCTAACCCATGACAACCAGTAACCTGTTTCCTATCTCCATCATTTCCCTTCAAGTATGTATACAGATGAGTTTACATTGCAGATAAACTTTTGAGATTGGATATTTTTCCCATTCAGCATAACTGTTTGCGCCCTTTTATTGCAGAGTTGCATTTTACTGTGTAGATGTGCACAGTTTAGCCATTCATCTACTGAAGAAGTTTGGGTTGTTTTTGACTATTATGAATAAAGCCATTATGAATATGCACATTTAGGGTTTAAATGAGAACACCAGTTTTCATTGCTTTGGGATAAATATCCAAAAGTGGAACTGCTGAATGGTATGGGAATTATATGGTACTTTTACAACAATTTGCCAAATTATTATCCTACCATTTTACATCAGTAATGTGTGTGTGGTCAGTTTCTCAGCATCTTTATCAGCATTTAGTGTTATCACTCCTTTTACCCTCAGCCATTCTGATATCTATGTAGCAATATCTCTTTGTGCTTCTAATTTGCATTTCTCAAATGGGGATAATGTTGAATGCCTTTTCATGTGGATATTTTCTATCTGTATATCCTCTTTGGTAACATGTTTGTTCATATCTTCGTGCATTTTCCATTTGGATTGAATTAGTCTATTTTACCCTCGAGTTTTGAGAGTTCTTGCTATACTGTAGCTATAAGTCCTTTATCAGATATGTGATTTAGAAATATTTTTCCCGGTCTATACTTTGTGTTTGCATCCTCTCAAAAGGATAGCAATCTTAACTAATGAATTCCAATTGATTATTTTTTGGTAGCATTTGATGTGGTTGAGAAAGCGGTCCCTGGAGTACTTAGCTTCAAATACCCGAAAGACCTGGGAGGTCCTGTAATCTCTCTCTGTCTCACTTTCTGCAGCTGTAAAATGGAATTTATGAGAGTTGTGCCTTACAGGATCAAGAGAGTTCAATGGCACAATATAAGCAGAACCCTCGGGATAATATGACTATGACTACTATTGAAACCTGGCAGGCTTAAAAATTGGTCAGTTACAGGTGAGAAATGACCAGGGATTCAAGTGAAAAAAATCCTTGTATATACAAAGAAGCACTGAAGATTAACTTAAATTGAAAAAATTTTTAAAAATCTGCTCAATTTATGTTTCATATATTCTTATAAATGTCTTCACCCAGAAATGGCTTATATAGAATCCAAATAACAACACATTCACATAGGATTAAACTAACTAGGCATTTAAATCCATTCAGGGAAAACAAGAGTCCATTGTTTAGGACTGTATAGACACTCAAAATCATTTTTTCATGTTATTGAGATTTTTACAAAGCGATGTTTTAGATGATCAGCTATTAGAAAATGGTCTATTTCTGTGTAAGAAAATAATACAGACCATAGGAAAACAGGATATTGATAGAGACCACAGTTATACCTTGATGTGAGGGTCATGTAAATGTTGGACCTCTCAGAGTCCTTGGAGTGCAGTCTTCTGTCCTACTAGTGGAATGTGGAGAAGCAAAGATACTTATTACTGTCTCTGCCTTTGCTGACAGGGAGGAAGTGATGGGCATGCACACATAGGACGGTTGGGTGGATAGGGAAGGGGGTGCCCAGAAGTGATGGGAAGAAGCTGTTATAGTAGACATTAGAGGAAAGACAGGACACAGCGACAGCTCTGCTGCTAGAGGGAGGTGGGGCTCCTTCAGATTGGAGCTGGTGTGGTCATTGCTCTGCTGAGAACCAGCTGGGAGACACTGGGGAAGTCACCATTCCCTCTGTGCCTGAGTTTTCTTTTCTGCCACATAATGAGAACAGTGCCTTTCCCACACACTCCTTGGGCTGTTCCGAAGAACAAATTTACATGAAGTTCTTTAAGTGAGGAAGTATTCCAAATAATTTTATATGTACATTTTAAAAATATATCAAATGTACTTGTATTTTCATCTACTTTTTAAATGGAATATATCCTTAAGAACTAGCATAGCTAATCTTTCTCTTGTACTCACCTGTGTCATAAAACTCCTTAGATATTTTTGTTCCTCTTCCCACTTTGTCTACTGTGTCTCAGCAATGCAGTGTGGCTGGTGCTCCTTCCTCTTGGTACCTGCTGGTTGGTGCTTCTAGTCCTGCGCACAAGGCATACTCTCTCCTCCTAACTTTATAATATTGGAAACTGACCTTGTTTATTCACCCTGGACCCTTGCTACTTTTCAAATGTCTTTATGGCTAACCACCCCCCCCCCATTATCATCCAGGATTCTATTTGACCTGAACACTACCCAAGGAAACAAGTTTTATTTGTCTTGAAAAATAGATAAATATTAGTGCAGGCTCTGTAATGTGACTGTAGAGTCATTTTACTACTGGTTCCACTGAAAATTTTGTGTGTATACATGTAGAATAGGTTGAAGAGAATATTTTTTTTTAAAGTATAATAAACATGTCTCTTTTTGAAGAACACAACAAAGGATTGGTTTGGGGGAATGCCATTGTGGGCATCATAATTATCATTACCTTCAATTTATAACTATGTGATTAATAACTAAAGTAATTTAAAAATATATATGTGAATATATTCATAGGCACAAATCAAAAATTGAGGATTAAAGAATTAATCTTTGGGGGGAAATTTTAGGGCAAAATTCAGTGGCTACAAAGTCTCTCATCATGAAAACGTGAAGAATTTCTAACAGTGGATGAAATAGAGACCTTGGAATAATTTCAGATTGTGCTATTCATATTTGATTTCTCTTCAGTAACCTTATTAAGATTAAGAGATAAAATGATATATGTATCAGGAGAAGAGAAGAAAATATATCCTTTCATGATTTGAGGAAGCACTATCAAGGGCATCTCTGGTATAATCCTGCCGTATAATCCTGCAAATCCTCCATTACAGAATCATGACTTTGGAAATACTAATTCTCAGGGGAGGAGACAATGATTTTCAAGAACGTATTCTCAAGATACATAGGATGTCATGAGCACATGAGCACAGGGTAGGGTTGAATTTAGCTTTGGCACTTACCAGCTGTGGGATCTGGGGCAAATTATCACCTTTAAGTCCCAGTTTTGTGTATAAAATGGTTTGTTAATGGCTATCACACGAGAAATACAATTTAAATGAGCAGATACATTTACTAAGAACCTAATATATTACTTATTTTATTTTATTTTTTATTTTTTGGTACTGGGGATCGAAATCAGGACCTTGTGCTTGCGCGGCAGGCGCTGGAACCACTGAGCTAAATCCCTGGCCCCATATTACTTATTTTATTTATTTTATTTTATTTTATTTTTTTTCATATTATTTTAAAGTTGGCCTCTAGTACTTTACATGGTAATCATTAGTAATGGTAGGGATATTATTTAATTAAAATTGAGGATACATGAAGAGATAACCAGACAGAGAATCAATATCCAGACACAGAATCAATATCCAAATATATTCTGTCTCCCTTGGTCTTGACAATGCATCTCAATCAGGCTGCTGCTCCTTTTCCACCTTCTCTTTTGCAGCCCCCCTTCTGCCTTGCAATGCAGTGACACAGCTTGCATTCTGCCCAGCTCTCACTGTGGTCCATTGCCTGGGGGCAGAAACTTCTGGGACACCAAACAGAGGGAACTCAAATGATAGGTATGTGAGAGGAAACCTCCTTTAATCAAGGTGGTGAACCAAAGGGGTAGGACAGTGTATCTTCACTACTCGAAAAGAAGACAATAAAATGGGTGAAAAAGAGAATGCATCTTAGAAATCATGAAGATGGCAGGATGTTATTCATCCAGGTGACAAACTCATGGGTGACCTCAGTGCTTTAGCTATCTATCTGTCTATCTCAGACAACTCAAGATTTGTGAGAAGCATGCTGGAAAATGCCAGTCAGCTATGAATCAGTATCTCTACACTTTCACCATCTCTGTAGTGAGAACAAGCTCAGTGAGTGCTCTCATTTGTCTGAATTTTACTCTCCGTCTCAGTAGTATAATTTGCATGATTTGAATGTGAAAAGACCTACAATTTCTTTCAACATAACAATGCTGTATTTTCTAATAAAAGAAACCTATACTAAGGTAAATTAAAGTTTTGCACTTTCTTAAATATATATTCAGATTCATAGGAGAAACATTTACATTACGTTTTGCTAAAAGTCAGCAAAGTATGAAATCTGTATTCATTTTTTATGAAGGTGCAAATCTCCACTCATTGTCACTCAGCCACCACTTTTCTACTCACATGAGAAATACAATTAAGTTTACTAAGAACCTAATATAATACTTAATTTAAGGTAAGTCTCTAGTATTTTGCAATGGTAATTGGTAGTAATTATGAATATTTAATTAAAATTGGAAATACATGAAGATATTTCAAGAGGTAACCAGATGCAGAGTCAATATCCAAATGTATTCTCTCTTCATTCATCTTGAAAATTCACCCAAATCAGGTGAATCTACGCTGCCATGTCTATATATTGGGATCTGGTGAGGACTTGCTGCCTTTTCACTATATCAGTGGGAGAGAGAGAGAGAGAGAGGGAGAGAGAGAGTGAGTCATAGGCACTGGTCTCTGTCTCTCTTTTTTTCTTGGCAGTGCTAGGCAAGTGTGCTTAGCGATGAGCTACATCCTCAGGTACTGAGGATCGAACTTGGGACCTTGTGCTTGTGAGGCAGGCAGGGTGGCACCACTGAGCTAAATCCCCAGCCCTTCGTCCTCTTTATAGAAAGGAACATTAGGGGCCCACCTTCATGATCTCATTAACCTTTGTCACCTCACAGGCCCCATTTCCAAATATAGTCACATTAGGCATCAGGGCTTCAAAATACAAATTTTGGGGGGACACGATTCAGTCCACAGCATTAAGTTTCAGTAACTTAATAGGAATATGTTGCAAATTATACTCCAAATTATGTGTCTAACAGTCCTTCATGTGCTTTTCATAAGCCTATGCTTATTAGTGACCAAGTTCTTTCTCTTGCTGTCAATTTATATAAAGTACTTATACTGTTAACAGTACAGTGTCTATCTAGGGTCAACAACACTTTAAAATTTCCCCCAAATTGCAAATTTACCATG